CCCACCCACCCCCGCCCCCCAGGGAGGAGGGGAGAGCAGGGGAGGGGGGGTCAGAGAGGATAGGCTTTATAAAAGCGACTGGGACAGCGCTGCCTGCCAGACCCCGCTGCCGGGATCTCCTGAGCTGCCCGCGGGCCCACGTGACCACGCCGACCCCGCCCCACCCTGCGCCACCTTCCAGCTCTACCGCAGTGAGTTGGGGCGCATCCCCATTCACCCCAGACATACGCCGAGTCGCGTGGTCTACTGAACCCGGGTTGGGGAGGAGACCCCATGAAGGAGGGCATTGAGTTGGGGGGCACCAGACAGAATCCCTATGGCAGGGATTTAGGACCCGAGGGAGCCGGGAGACCCCTCTCCTCCCCCGGCTCGGGGCCTGGGAAACTGCAAGCCACCCCCCAGGAATGTGTGTGCAGCCGTTCCCATGGTAACGTGCAAGCCTCATCTGCCTTCCGCTGCAGGAAAGAAGTTGTTGGGGAGGCGGGGGCTAGTCCGTGAGAGGTCCAAACTTGTCACCCAGAGGATGCTCGAGGAAACCGAGGATGCCCCCCGCCCCTCTCCGGTGCCCCAAAACTTCTCAGAGCCAGACCCCACGTCTCATCCCCTCCCAGAGCCTCAGTTTCTGCGTCTGTCAAATGGAGGCAATATTATTGGTTCCAAATTCCCCCAAGAGTTATCTCGAGGGTAACGATCCCGGCCAGGCCTCTCTCCTGGCTGGACATGTGAGGAGTGGATTTTAGCGGCCTGGTGACTCCCGCGACCCCACCCCGTCCCCAGGCCCGCTCGCCATGGCCCTCTGTGGGGCCCTCTTCCTAGCGCTGCTGGCAGGCGCTCACGCCGAGATCCCAGGCTGTAAGATACGTATCACCTCCATGGCGCTGGAGCTGGGTAAGGCGTGGGGAGGAGTGGGGGCGGGTGCGGGTGGGGTCACTCCAGCAGTGGGCGCAGGAGCTTAGGGTCTCGCTTCTGCTTCAGTGAAGCAGGAGGCACTGAGCTTTCTGGAGCAAGAGCTGGAGACCATCATCATTCCGGACATGAAGGGCGGAGAGGGCCAGTTCTACTACAACATCTCTGAGTAAGTTGGAGGCTCCGGGGCGGGGCTTCGAAGTGGGGGCGGGGCTTAGGAAATATATATGGGAGACTTTCGGGAGACTGGGTGGCTGAGCGAAATGGGGGCGTGGCCAAATTGGTGAGACGGGAGTTAAGATAGGATGGATCGGAGAAGATAAAGGCCAAGCCTGCCGACATAGGCGGGACTAAGCAGATGGGCGTGGCCTAGGGAAGGTCGGCGGGACCAAGAAAAGCTGAGCGTAAGACTTGGAATTGAGGCGTGGCCAAAGAGCACCAGAGAGGTGGAGTCAAGAAATTTTCCAATGGCTGAGAGTGAGGTCTAGGGACCCCGAGCAGAGCTAATAAGAGAGGTCCTGGGAACTAGTAAAAGCCTGTGGTCTAGGACGATGGGGACAAGTGGAGCGGAGCTTAGATGAGGGAAACAAAATCAAAGGGCTCGGTTAAAAGGTCAGGTCTAGCAACCCCAGGGTGTGGGGGTGAAGGGAATGTAAGCAACAAGACTTCTAAGAGAAGGGGTATAGCTCACTTTTAACACCTGGATCAGTAGAAGCTCATCTCTGAGCCACCCTAGTCCAAGTTGAGCCACCAAGTCCACGGTGGGCAGTTGAGGAGCAATGGAAGAATTCATTCTACTCACTCTAGCTTCCCCAGGCCTGGAATGGAAGAGGAGGGACTGAATTTCTTGTCGTTGGGAGAGATCCCCTCTTGGTCCTTAATTTGACCCTGAGACCTCCTACAGTGTGAAGGTCACGGAGCTGGAGCTGACATCCTCTGAGCTCCACTTCCAGCCGGAGCAGGACCTGGTGCTGCAAATCACCAACGCTTCCTTGGGGATACGTTTCCAGAGACAGCTTCTCTACTGGTTCTTGTGAGGATCTGGCACCCTCAATGGAGTGGCGGGCGGATCAGGAGGGCCGGGGGTGCTGTAGGGCTGTGGGAAATCCCTTAGCCTTTCTTAGTGTTAGTTTCTTCAAAAAGAAATGATCATACCCACTTCTAGGGGTCGATAGAATTTGATAGAATGTCTGGTAAACTGTGCAGGAGTGAAGCCTTTTGAAGAAGTATCATGATGTACAGGTGTGGGGAGCGGGGCAGTGAAGACTCGGTTAAGCTCCAAGCTGGGGTGAACATGAGCCCCGCCCATCCCTGGCAGCTATGATGGGGGCTATATCAATGCCTCCGCCAAGGATATATCCATCCGTACTGCTCTGCGCCTCTTCCGAGATCCCGCTGGCCGAATGAAGGTGTTCAACATCTCCTGCCAGGCTTCTATCTCCAGAATGCATGCAGCCTTTGGGGGAACCTTCAGGTAAGCTCCATCTCCATCCCTAACGCACGCCCTCCCCCGCCCCGCCCGCCCCGCGGCCGGAGCCCCACAGCCCATCTGCTGGTGCAATGCAAAGTGCACAGGCTTGGGAATCAGACCAACCGGGTCCAAAGCTCAGCGTTACCATTTTCTGACTGTGTGATCTTGGGCAAGTCCCTGAAGCTCTGTGCCTAAATTTTCTCATTGGTAATATGAGGATGATAATAGAACCTATTTTATAAGATGCTGTGAGGACTATTTGTGTTAATAAAGGTAAAAATATTTAGAACAGTACCTGGCACATAATAAATGGCTAGCCACTTTGATAAGAGTAACTGCGAAGATAAATGTGCACAGTTGGACATGAACTGGGTTCTCAATAATTGGTAGTACTTACTAATAATAACAAAAATAATTACACAGGTCCAGGTTTGGGCCTGGGAAAGAGACTTAGTGCTGGTTCTGGAATAGGGTGGGAGAGAAGATGGTAGATTTATCATCTGGTATTGGTACACTGTCAATTTTTTTTTTTTTTTTTAGGTGAGGCAACCCTTGGTTGACCTAACAGATTGCAAGGAACTTGTCATCTTACAATCCCTGATTTTTTATTTTTTACACCAATAGCACCTGGTCTTCCTAGGTGGTCTCCCATCCAAGTACTAACCAGGCCCGACCCTGCTTAGCTTCCGAGATCAGAGGGGATGGGGCTTGTTCAGGGTGGCATGGCCGCAGATGCACTGTCAATTTTTTACTTATTCAACAAAGTGAATGCCAGTTCCTGAGGATTCAGAAAGGAGCTCAAAGCCTATTTGGGGGGACAAAACATTTGTCATTGGGGACTTGAGAGAGGGACTAAGAAAGTACTCTGGGGGTTCAGAGGAGGGTAGTCTGGAAAGACTGTCTAAAAAGGAAGCATCTGAACCAGACATGGGGAAATATAGGACAGGGGCATTGAGGGTGGAGGGGAGGCTGTGAGTAAGCACATGGAGCTGGGGATGCTTAGAACAGGTTTGAGGAATTGCGGGTAGATTCATTTGGCTGGTGGGGGACTGGGATAGGAGAGGAGGTCTTAAGAATAAGGCTGGAGGGGATTTGGGCCCAAGTCATGGAAAACCTCTATTAAAGAGCTGGTGCTTCAGGTCAAAGTTGAGGTGTCCATCCCCCCGCCTCCATCTCTCTCTCTGGTCACCGTGATTTCTCTTGGACCTGCATTGGGATAGGGGCAGGGTCTGGGCTTACTGATCTATCCTCTCCTCACAGGAAGATGTATGAATTCCTCTCCGTGTTCGTCACCTCAGGGATGCGCTTCCTTCTCAACCAGCAGGTGTGGGCAGTGGCAGGTCTGGGGGATAGCAGGGGTGGGCGTGCCCTTTCCTGAAGGCCCTGACTTTGGCCTCCACCTCCCAGATCTGCCCTGTGCTCTACCATGCAGGGATGGTGCTGCTCAACTCCCTCCTGGACACGGTGCCTGGTGAGTTGGCCTTGGTGGGGCGGGGAGCTCTGGGCCAGGCCCTGGGGCTGGAATAGGGGTGAAGAGAAGGCTGTCAGGCAGTGCTTCAGCGTAGGCCCCTTCCATGCTCTGCTGTGGAATGGCCCTGGGTTCAAATGTGGCCTCGGCCTCCAACTTGCTGTGTGACCGAGGCCTCCCCCTGGAGTTGCTGTGAGGATTAACTGAGGGGCTGGTTGTCAAGGTCCTCAATATGTGCTTGCTGATTGCTGAGGCCCTATTTGTGTGCATCACCTGGTACTTAATAGGGGCTTAATTAACATGAATTCCCTTTTCCTAAGCTGTGACCTCTGTTTGCTGTGGGGCAGAGATCATCATGCCCCATACACAGGGCATGAGCAGGGGAGGAGGAGGCAGAGGAACCAGCGATGGAAGGGACTCCCTTGCCATCTTGTTCAGTGATCTGATGAAACTTCTGTAGTAATGGAGTAGGAGTAGTAGTGATGGCTAACACAGTTGAACACTTACTGCATATCAGGCACTAAGTGCCTTCCACGGAAAACTAATTTGATCCTCATAGCAGTCCTATGAGGGAAGTATTATAATGATCGTTTTGTGGATGAGAAACTGAGGATGAGAGCTTAAGCACCTTGCCCAACATCCCACAACTGAGTGACTGGAGCCCCTCCCCACAGTGCGCAGTTCGGTGGATAATCTCATCGGCATTGACTACTCTCTTCTAAAGGACCCTGTGGTTTCCACCAGCAGTCTGGACATGGACTTCCGGGTGAGCTATTCAGCTGGTGTGTCACCTCTGACCTAGCCAGACTTCCTCCTTCTCCCCAAAGCCACTGGTTTTGTCCCCCTACAGCACAGTTCTGGTGAGGGCACTCCATTGCTGGGAATGCTGTGGCTCCGCTGCCTACAGAATTAGGTCGAGCACCTGGGTCTGGCATTCAAGCTTGTTACTCTTTTTTTTCGAACTTCACCCTGTTCCTCTGAAGCTAATCTTTCCCAAATATGCCTCTCGCTTCCTACCTCGGGGCCTTTGCTCCTACACCGCCTTTCCCCATCTCCCCTGAAGGAGCTGGACATACAGTTCTGTGTACATATCTCATTTCATCCTCTGAGAACCCTGTGAGTCAAGTACTTATACCCGTTTTTAGGGATGTGGAGGTTTGCTCAGAGAGGTGACGTCACTTGCCCAAGGCCATGCAGCACCTTTACTCCTCCCAGCAGTGTAGCAGAGTTTCAGAGCACAGACTGTGGAGTCAGAATGCCTGGAGTTCAGATCGTGGCTCTGCCACTTCCAGCTGCGTGACCTTAAGGAAGTGGCTTAACCTTTCTGTGTCTGTTGCCTAATATGTAAATGCAAATAACACAGTAAGAAAACATACCTCATAGGATTAAAGGAGTTGGTCTGTGTAAAGAGCACAGAATTACCACATATATGTAAGCTATAGGTATTATCTTTACTGCCACCTAGCTTTCAAGGGCCGGTCAAATGCTGCCTCCTCCTTGAACCCCTTCCTGAGCCTCTGTTCTCTGGTCTAATGATTGCTCCTTTGCAGCACTCCAGCTGCCCTCCCTTTGATGCCTTTTAAGAAATGTGCTTGTGGGTTCCTCAAGGACAGCAGCTGGGTCCTATTCCCCACTATTCCCTACAGTGCCTAGCCCAGGGCTTGGGACATCTGGGTGCTGCCCCAGTCAGCCTTGGCCCTGACCCTGACCCCTCTACCCCAGGGGGCCTTCTTTCCCCTGACCCAGGGGAACTGGAGCCTGCCCAACCAAGCAGTGGAGCCCCAGCTGCAGGAGGAGGAGCGGATGGTGTACGTGGCCTTCTCTGAGTTCTTCTTTGACTCTGCCATGGAGAGCTATTTCCGGGCGGGGGCCCTGCAGCTGTCGCTGGTGGGGGATAAGGTATGCCAGGGCCTGTTTGTGGGATGGGCAAGAGGAGACCTGTGATGGAGCTCCTGATGCCCCTGCCTCACCTCCAATCCCCCTGTCCAGGTGCCCCACGATCTGGACGTGCTGCTGAGGGCCTCCTACTTTGGGAGCATCATCCTGCTGGTGAGTGTTAAGGGAAGTAGGGACATGGCCAGGGTGGGTAGGCAAACCACCTGCAGGGGACCAGTGAAGTATGCAGGTAGAGTCCCCAGTGGCAGCCATGGAGCAGACAGAAGGCTGGCCTGGCCTCTGGCCAAGTCCCCTCACCTAGCCGAGCCTGTGGCTAGGTCTGTGAAGGGGGCTCGCTAATTCCTGCTCTGTCCTTCATGCAGCCATGATGACGGTGGGCTAGAACCTAAGCTCTAAAAGTGTAGGGGCTCTAACGACTGACACATTATTCTTTTTGCTTCTCTTCCCTTATTTAATGGGGTGAGGGGTAGGAGTTTAAGATTTAAAAAGAAATATTTCAGTGATCATTAAAGGACTTATCCTCAGTTCAGTTTTGTAAATGATGGAGCTGAGATTTGAACGTGGGTTTGAATCTGTGATTCCAGGTCACAGTGGCATTCTCTACTACTCTATACAACTTCACAGGGCTGTCGTGAGGATTAAATGAATACACATAAAGCAATTAGAACAGTACCTAGAACAGAATAAGTGCTCAGTAAACACTAGCTGGGAATATTATTGCTGTCGTCGTCATCATCATTAAACTTATGGCCAAGCACCATTGAGAGCATGGACTGTATTGCCAGACTGCCTGGTTTTGAATCCCGGTTCTGCAACTGAATAACTGCATAACCTTGGACAAGTTACTTAACTCTCTGTGCCTCGATTTTCCTACCTCAAAAAGGAGAATAATACCTGCCTCATTATTGTGAGGTTTAAATGAACTGTTTAGTGAAGAGCAAGCACTTGGTCAGTGTGGGAATCGAACAGGATTCCTACAGTGCCTCTAGAGAAGTAGCAAAGCAGTTGCAGAGAAGAGAGATAGGGCTGGATGTGTGATGCGAGAGACTAACCCAGGAGTCTGGACTGGAGATGGAGTCTGATTACTGAGAACTTAGAAAAGCAGAAAGAGCAAAAGTTCTGGCAGGTTTGGGAAGCCACTCCTGTTTTCTTATTTGTCCCTCTGGGCTCCCAGAGGGCAGAGCCTGAACCACCCCCTCCTACCCTGGGGCTCACCAGGGAGCAGAGCTGGGATTTGACCCTCCGCCATCCCTGCTTTGTCCCCAGAGCCCAGCAGAGATTGATTCCCCACTGAAGCTGGAGCTGAAGGTCACAGCACCACCTCGCTGTACCATCAAGCCCTCAGGCACCACCATCTCTGTCACTGCCAGTGTCACCATCGCCCTGGCCCCACGCAACCAGTCTGAAGTCCAGCTATCCAGCATGATCATGGTGCGGTCACCAGACTGCGGGCTGCAGAGGGTTGGAGAGAAGTGGGCTGGGGACCCACATGGTCAGTAACACATGCACCCCCCATTCCCGCAGGACGCTCGTCTCAGTGCCAAGGTGACTCTTCGGGGGAAGGCGCTGCGCACGCAGCTGGACCTGCGCAAGTATGCAAATGTCCGAAAACCCTGGGCAAGCCCTTACCTTCTCTGAGCCTCAGTATCTTTAGGATAATCACACTTGCCCAACAGAACTGGGGAGCTAAAATTCACTCATCCCTATAAGCCACTTGAGAGCTGTGGTCTTTGTTAACACATAGAAGGTGCTTTATTAAAATGTAACTTCTGTGTTTTCTCACCACCCTGAGGCAAAGCAGGTATTGTGAGAAATGACCAAACTGGCCCAGTGAGGTTAAGTGACATGCCCACAGTCACACAACAGAGCCTAAGAACATGGGTTTCGGCAGACACCGCAGCATAACTTAGCTTTGTAATCTTAAGAAAAGTCATTTTATCTTTCTAAGCTTTGTTTTCTTCATGTGTTAAATATAGATAAAAGTAGCATCTATTTTCTAGGGCCATGCTATCCAATATGGTACATACTAGCCACATAAGGCTATGTATATTTACATTAATTATAATTAAATAGCTCCTCGGTTATGCTAACCATATTTCTACAGCCACGTGTAGCTAGTGGCTACCGTATGGACAGTGCAGATACAGAACATTTTACAGAAAATTCTATTGGACGGCGTTGTTCTAAGGAGCTGAACGAGTAAGTACAGGGTAGCGGTTAAGAGCCTAGATTCTGGAGGCAGGTTCTGCCGCTTTCCAGCTGTGTGACCTCAGGCGAGTGACTTAACCTCCCTAGGCCTCATCTGCCTCATCTATAAGGTGCAGACAGTAATAGTGCCCGCTTTTAGGGTTGTTATGAGGATTAAATCAGTTGGCATTTGAAAAGATTTAAATATGTAACTTTTTAAACACGTTTGGTGTCTGGCAGGGAGTAAGCACTATACATTTTGTTAAGTAAAAATAAACAACACGTGAAAAGCTATCGGTATTAGTCTGCCATGTAGGAAGTGCTCGACAAATAAGTAGCAGATGTGAAGAAACAGAAACTCAGGGAGAAATGACTCACCCAAGGATACACACCTAGAGAGTGATAGACCCCCCTGGAGAGATGCATAGGTGGGACATCCAAGACTGAACTTGGCTTCTGGTGGCTAGCCCTGGGGAGTCTGAGGGAGGGGGAGCCCACCAGAACTTCCCTCCCACAGGTTCCGAATCTACTCGAACCACTCTGCACTGGAGTCCCTGGCGGTGAGTTGGAAATGGTGGGCGGGCTGAGGCTGGGATCAGGGTGAACAGCTAAGGCAAGCCCACCCGCTCCTTGCTGCCCTGACTCCACCCCTCCTCCCTTCCAGCTGATCCCACTGCAGGCCCCTCTGAAGACCATGCTGCAGATTGGGGTGATGCCCCTGCTCAATGGTAGGGTTGGGGGTGTGAGGAGGGAGGGGAGAAGGGGGAGTTGGGTGGGGCCAGACCGAGCCAGCTGTTCCCACCCACAGAGCGGACCCAGCGAGGGGTGCAGATCCCACTACCCGAGGGGATGGCCTTTGTGCATGGGGTGGTGACAAACCATGCGGTAAGTAGATGCATGATGGGGAAGGAGGGCAGAGTCTTTCCCTCCCTCAGCCCATCTGCACAGCTCCTCCCTTATCAACGGCCCCTCCTATTTTAATCTCAGGTCAGACTCCTCTAGCCTTTTGCAGGCTGTGCCTTCACCTTGGAACTGTTCCCTAATTCCATCACCCTCAACGCCTACTAATCACCCTTCATAGGGAGTGATAAGAACCACTTTGCTGCTGTCTCTCCCACTAGACTGAAGACCCCTCAAAGCCAAGGGCTCTAACTCTAAACTCTGGCCTTGGTAAGGGAATGAATAGATTTTCCTCTGCCTCGCTGCACAGGGCTTCCTCACCATTGGGACTGACCTCCGCTTTGTCAAAGGGCTGCGAGAGGTGATTGAGAAGAACTGGCCTGCCACCACCATGGGCCCCCAGGCATCTAGTGCCCCACCACCCTCCACGGCAGCTGTCTGAACTCAACTCCCAACTCCTGACAGCTGCATTCAGGACTCCAATGCCTCTTATCCCCTCCCTCACCCCGTCACTGCCTAGAGAGTCCTCCCTAACCCCCAGTGCCACAGAGAAGACGGGTTTTAAGCTGTACCCAATTTAATTCCATAATCACAGTCAATTACAGTCCATCTGACCTCCCAGTGGGCTGTCCTGAGCTCTAGTGTGTTCCTGGGATGTCATCAGTGCATTAAAGTCATTCGTTAAGCAGGGTGGGAGCCAGTCAGGAATAAAGTGCTAACTCCCCACCTCCCCAGGCTGTCTATGTGAGGCATAGGGGCCAGTTGGAGGGGGGCGAGGGTGGGAAGCAGTTCTGGAGGCAGGGACCTGCCCCGCAGGGGCATTTTGCATCAAGGAGGACCTCCCTTCTAGCAGGTGAGGCTGGCAGGGGCTGGGTTCGGCAGTGGGGGCTGGCCCCCATGGTCATCAGTATGGCTGTTTATTCAGGAAGCGGGAGAACATGGTGAGGGCAGCCTGGGGCTTGTCGGTGGGGACCATGTGTCCAGCGCCCTGAGGAGCAAAAGCTTTGTGAGATCCTCTCCCTGAAGAACCCATGCCCTGGGCACTTCCCTCATCCCACTGTATTCCCCTAGTCAGTGACCTTCATCCAAACCCAGCCCTGCCTGTCCCAAGCCTTCCATTCTTCCCATCTCCCCAGAAGACTTGCCCTTGCAGGGGCCAAATGGTAACCCAGCATAAAAGGAAACGGGAAAGAAAGAAAGGGTGGGTCCCTTCTAGCCGCAGCTAGCCCTAACCAGGCCCAGACCTTACCTTGATGGTGAGAAAGGCGATGTGGGAGAACTCCTTCACGAAGCCAGCGATCTGCTCCCCACTGTCCCCGTAATCCACTAACCAGGGCCGGCGCTGTACCTCCATCTGTGCCAGCAGGAAAGACTTAGCAGCCTGCAGCTGCCGATCCTCTCTGCTCACAGATGCCAAGCCTCAAGACCTCAAGGGCTGAGAACTCCTCCATGTTTGCCCTGTCTGCCAGGCACGCTTGCCCTACCCCTGCACCAGCCTCGCCCTGGAGCCAGGATCCCTGCCTTACCTTCTGGTTGAGGGAATCCACAAACCATTCATCCCCCAAGAAATTGCAGGCCATGTCCACATCTCCATTGTAGAGAAGGATCCGGTATTTCTGGAGCAGGGCAGGGAAAAAAGTGGGAGACTCTGGAACAAGCACAGGCCCTGGCCCTTAGCAGGTTCAAACCCCGCCCCCTCAGAGAATTCAAGGGACCCAACTAAACAGCATAGGTCAGGGAACACTTCTGTTTCCTGACTGCTTCCTACATGTCCAGTGCTCTACAAAATGCCTTACCTGTGAAGGTAAATACCATTATTAATACCATTTTACAGATAGGGAATCCAAATCTCAAGTTTTATGAGAAACTTGCCTAGGGTCACATGGCTAGTAAAGGAACTTGCACCCAGGCAATCTGACCCCGGAGCCCATACTCTAACCACTTTGCTATGCAGATCTGGTCCTAACCTGGCTCTACCAGTGTGTCCTAAGTCAATTTGGACAAGGCTCTCTCCTACCTTGGACCTCCACTTGGCCACTTGTAACATGACCTGACGAGCTCCTCTCACCCAAAAGCCTCCTTGGCTGATGCAGACCCCTCAGCCTCCTGCAGCAGGGCAGCATGGGGTGGGGTCAAAGACAAGTTCAAATCTTGACCCTGCCAACTACAGGACCTTGGGCAAGCGACTTCACTTGGACTTTCAGCTTCCTGTCTCCCCGCCTTGCCATGCTGCTCCGGGGTTTTGGGCTGCTGGTGGTGGACCCAGCTGTGCTGCCCCTACTTACCTGTGTGGCAAGCAACTTAAGGTACTGGGAGTTCATGCTCTGGTAGAGACGGCGGTACTGTATATTCACCAAGAAGCTGTGGGAGCACGTGGGCAGGCCCCGGGAAAACAAGGTAGGGGGAGAAAAAGTCAACAGATCAGACCTCCTCTCCTATCCCCCATCCCCAAGCTCCAGCCTAGGAGGCAGACTGCTGGGATTCAGCCCCACCCTCAGGTCTACTACCTCTCTTGGACTTATCTGGATGGGGGGCTGGAATTCAGAGGTCCTCAACCCACCCCTGATTAGAAATGCATAGGGACACTTTGGTTGTTTCAATGACTGGGATTCCACAGGCATTTAGAGCATAGGGGCTTGCAAGTGTGAGAGCCACAGCATATGCCAACAGTAGGGCATGGGCACTGACCAACCCAGAAGGGACCTCAGTGGTCTCTGCTGTGCCAGGCATCACCTTTTTACTTGCAAGGGTCCTAGCAGATCTGAGCAGGTGGAGATGGTACTGGAGTTGGAGTAGGGGAGGGGGGTTGGAAGCATGTCTTTTTACAAAATTCGAAGTAATCAAATTTTAAAAACCAATGTGGCCATTTAAGAATGAACTGGCTGAATATCAATCAACTCATGCCCTGAGTGCCCGCAGTACTCCCACTGAGAAACCCTAGGCAAAGAATCCCTGGAACCTTTCTGATGCCCATGAATCCCAACAGCCCACCAGCCCCCAAGCCAGAACCTCACTTGCACAGGTCCCAGTGGGGCAGCTGCTCGGGGATGTGGAGGGCCTTCCGCACGAAAGGGTTGTTGAGATAGGTGGAGGGAGCTGTGGTGTTGGTACAGGGGGGGTCCATGTGCACTCTAGCCCCAGAACGCAGCAGTGCCTGGGGAGCACAGACAAGAGCGTGAGGGTCTTTGCTTCCGTGCCTCGCCCCTACCCACACTGCTGGGAGGAAGCCCAGGCTCTGCATACCTGATGCCACATTCGCTTGATTGGCAGGCGAGTGAAAAGGTTACCCAAATCCTGGACCACGACAGTATCCTTTTCAAATCTGCAAGTGAAGTGGGGGGATGGGTCCCTGAGCCTCCACATGGGGCTGGAGTTGGCCCATGGGCACCTGGCAAGGCTCACCTTAAATGCCCAGGCACGCCCCCAGCACATGGGGCGTAGAGGTTGTAAATGTTGAGGCCAGAGTTGCCCACGATGCGGGACACTTCTTGGAGCTGCAATGACACCGAGCCACCATGCTTTGCAGAGCCCTGAGGTCATCCCTATGACCTTAACGATGTGTCCCAAGATTTAGTGCTTTTCTACTTCACCTTGTCTTTACCCTTACCCCACTTTTCACAGGTAGGGAAACTGAGGCTCAGTGTAAGGACTCTGCCAGACCTAGGCCCACAACCTAGTATTTCTACTTCCTAGCACTGTGACTTCAGGAAAGTGACTTCAATATTCTTGGCTCAGTTTCCTCATCTGGAAAATATGGATAACACGATCTCCCTTGGAGAAACTTGAAGATGAAATCATCTACACTGACAGCTCAGCACAGTCCAGGCACATGGCAGATGTTCGATAAGTGAGAACGTGTTTCTCCTCACAGGGATTATAGGATTTGCCCAGAAAGTCATAGAAAGTGGTGGTGGTAACACATCCATATTCATGTGTCCTGGAGAACACCCAATTGCTAAAGGATGTCGGATAGGGCAGCAATGGGGGCTGGGGGACAGGGAGTCCCCAGTGAGGGGATATGGTCCTGTTCTCAGGATTGGGGGCATCTGAGGTGACACAGGATCGGGGCAGAACCTCACACTGGTCACGCATTCTGGGTCTTTGTTGTCGTAGAAGTTACACGTGTTTTGAGAGCAGCAGTGGGTCTGGAGGGAAGACCAGAGCCTGTAGGAGATCAGAGTGAAAGTGCTTAGACTCACAGTGGGCAGGGAAGGTGAGAACCCCACCTTCTCACTCCAACTTCGAGGGGATAAGAACGTATGTCACAGTGTGAGGTGGGTCCCCAACCTAGCTGCCCTGAGGCCATCCTACCAGCCTTCCTTGGTCCCTTTAAATTCTGATCACTAGCCTTTGGCCTTTTAGTACCAAACCCTTCTAGCAACCCCAGCCCCTACCTTCTGCTCCTAATTAGGGTAGGGCCCAGGATATTATGTGCCTGGAAGACAGACCTGAGATCCTGTGACCTGCCCCACCCTGAAGATTGCCCCGACTGCCCTCCTCCCATACCTGTTCCCCAGAAGGCCATGATAGTAGGCGAAATAGACGAGGGAGTTGTCATTCTGCTCATAGGAAGAGAGTCCATTGCCCACAGCCAGTCCCTGTGAAACACCCAGGGCGTTCAGTTCACGGGGAAGGTGAGGTGGAGGAGCCTGCGTTGATCTACACCCAGACCTTCAGCAACGTGGAAGCTGGAACCCAGGGTGGTTTATGTGGGTGGGTGGGAAGGCCACTCAACATAAAGAACAGAGCTGGTAGCCTGACAGGTGAGCTTCCTGTCACGCACACGAGCAGAGAGAAGCCAGCTGGTGGTCACGCACACGAGCAGAGAGAAGCCAGCTGGTATGAAAGATACTGGGTTGGGTGGGGGAGTTGGCCTGTTTGACCCCGATAACCACAAGGCTATGGCTGCAAGTTGCCCCCCTCCCCTCTGCAGCCGTCCTGCACCTGAAGGTTCATGCTAGGGTCCTGCATGACCAACACAGCTAGGGTGGGGATGTAGATGCCGGCATAGCTCTCTCCTGTCAGGAAAAGCTCGTTGTCCTTGTACTCCGGAAACAGGCGGAAGAAATCTTGAAGGGCCTCGAAATTACTCTGGGCAACCTGGAGACGGTAGGATGGGGGGGGATCAGGAGGCTTTGGTATGTGAGCTGGAAGGAATATCAGAGATAATGACAGTCCACCCTGTTTGTGAAAGAGGAAGTGACTTGGTAGTGACAAGATCATACTTCATAGAAGGTCAAAGAGCCAAAAATGGACTCCAAGGCCATCCTCTTTCTCTCCCTGTATCATGCTACCTTTAGAGAACCAGTGAGGCTGGGGTGTATGGGCAGGCATCAGACTCACCTCTGTGTCATTGGTCGCATAAGACTTGTCATTGGAGTAGGAGAAGCCCACCCCAGCTGGGGACTCGAGGTACAACACGTTGGCAATCTAGACAGGAGGAGGAGGAAACGAGTTGAGGGCTCCCCACCCTATCCAAGTGCCCACACATCCCCACAGGACCCACAGCACCGGCTATACCAGGTTCCAAGAATAGGGGTTGTACTCCAGGGTAACACCATCTGGCTGGACCTGAGGAGGAAAAAGATGGCTGAGTGAGTGGAAGGAAAGGGCCACCGTGTCCAGCCGATGGTACAGATAAAGAGACTGAGGCTCAGGAAAAGGGCACATGTTTGGAAAAATCACAAAGTCCTTTCCTCCCTCTTCCCTGGCCTCTTTCTTTGGGAAGTGTCCCCTCCCTCTCCCTTTCCTGGGTTATGGAGAGCTGCTTTCCACTCACCAGGAAGGGGCCATGCTCTGTGAGGAAGCCATCTAAGGAGCTGCAGCCCGGCCCTCCGTTGAGCCAAAGCACCACAGGGCTGCTCTTAGGGTCCTTCTGGGACTCCACAAACCTGGGAGGGGAGTCAGGCCCAGGTGGGTGCAGGTGGAGAGACTCTTTCCAGCCCTCCCTGCTCCCAGGCTCACTCAGGGGTCTTCAAGACTCCCGCCCCGCAGTCCTCTCCCCTGGTGGGCATAGCAGTGGCCCTCCCCACTCCGCCCTGGGAGGGAGAGCCGCGGACCAGTAATGGAGATGCTTGGAGCCAGAGCCTCTGAGGTAGCCGGAGTACTGGCGGAAAGACGGCTGCTTGGCCAGCCCAGGCAGGCACTGGATTTCGTCCTGGCTGGGGGCTGCCTCGCCTTGAGGTGCCCAGAACAGCAGCAGCTGCAGCAGGAACGGCGACCACTGCTTAGCTCGAACCATCTGCGGAGAAAGCGGGTGCCGGCTGTTTACTGGCTCCCTGGCTGCTCAGCGCCTGCGTGCAACCGTCCCTGGGGAGGAGCTGGCGGCGTACCGGCGAGGAAAGCCTCGGCCCGGCCCCAGCTCTCACGGCCGAACCTCCTCCGCTTGCCCCACGCGCGGCAGGGGGCTCCGGGATCCCTTCCAGCCTCGGAGTTCCCTCACCTCTGCTCTCCCACGTCCTTGCTCTCCAGGAGGTGCCTGGCGACGGGAAGTCATGTGTACGCTGAGTCACGTGTGCTCCGGTGTCACGTGACAGACTTCCTCCCATCGTCTCCGGTGCCTGAGCACCCGGGGGATGGATTGGGGGAGGCGGCGGCGGTCCACGCCCGGTCAGGGTCCGCGAGCCTCGCAGGTCGTATCCCGGGCACTCGCGATCAGATGACCCAAGTGGGACGGCCAGGATCCCCCAACTTCCTCGGGGGCCCTGTTCTAGACGGGATGTCTGAGCAAGCGGCGCTAGGACCCTCGGGCAGAGCCTCGGGGAAGGGAGTCCGGGGGGAAATTCCTTACATGGTGCCCCTGCGGTCACCTGCTGAGCCCGCTGCCCAAAATAGTCCCTGGCGCCCGCGGGCCTGCCTCGTGGCGGGGATATGGCTGCTGTCTCCGACCCCGTGGAACTAGGTGCGCCCTGGGGACCCGCGCTCCCCGAACTCCCTCCAACCCGCTTTCATCGGGTGCACGGTGCCAACATCCGCGTGGACCCCTCCAGGACGCGGGCCACACGCGTGGAGAGCTTCGCCCACGGCGTGTGCTTCAGTCATGAGCCGCTGGCCCCGGGCCAGATATTCCTGGTCGAGATCGAGGAGAAAGAGCTAGGCTGGTGCGGCCACCTGCGCCTCGGCCTGACTGCGCTAGACCCCGCCAGTCTGGCCGCCGTGCCCGAGTTTTCGCTGCCGGATCTGGTCAACCTCGGCCACACCTGGGTCTTCGCCATCACGCGCCATCACAACCGCGTGCCCCGGGACGGCCACCCAGAGGCAGAGGCAGCGGCTCCCAGCCGACCCCCAGCCCTCCTGGTGGAACCGTATCTGTGCATTGAGCAGTTTCGCATTGCCCGCGACCGCTTGGTGGGCCGCAGTCGGCCGGGGCTCTACAGCCACCTCTTGGACCAGCTCTATGAGCTGAACGTACTGCCTCCGACCGCGCGCCGTAGCCGCCTGGGCGTTCTCTTCTGCCCACGCCCGGATGGCACAGCTGACATGCACATCGTCATCAACGGCGAAGACATGGGCCCTAGCGCCCGGGGGCTCCCAGTCGCCCAGCCCCTCTATGCAGTAGTGGACGTGTTTGCCTCCACCAAGAGCGTGCGCCTGGTCCAGCTTGAGTATGGCTGTAGGTATCCCCTCCCCTGGGCAGCGACCCCTCCTGGTCCAGTGTGGGGACAGAAACTTGCTAGGCTTCCAAGCCAGATAGCAAGGCCTTGGTCTGTGCAGCATTAATTTAGAAGCTGGGGAATCTGATTTCAAATTCTGGCTCTGCTTGTGATTTTGGACAAGTCACTCCCTGGCTCTGGGTGTCAGTTTACCTTTGACTGTGATTGATGAGGATGCCCTCCAATTTCCCTTCTGGCTTTGACAATATTTTCTATATTAACCCAGGCCAGGGATTCTAACCTGACTTTAGATTCTAGGCCTCTTGGAGAATTGTGTGCTTTTCACAGACACATGCTCGTAGATTAGGGTATACCAATTTAAAGGCATCACAGCCCCCAGACTGAGAGTTTCTCAGTCCTGAGGCCTGATTCATTATGGCCCTGGTAAGTCCTTTAGTTAGATCTCCGATCACATTTTATGAATTCAGTGAACTGGAACCCAGTCTGTGCCAGGCCTGTGCTGGAGGCTGGAGTTGTACAGCTACGTCAGACACTACCCCTGCCCCCAGAAGCTGCCAAGGGAGGGGGAAGGGAGTGTGCTGAGTGTTATAATAGAAATAGGGCTGCAGCATTGTGAAAGTGTTGTGAAAGAGGTGCTTATCTCAGCCACATGAACGCCCCGTGAAGCAGGGCAGGCTCAGAGAGCAGAAGGGAATTGCCCAAGTTAATGACAAAGGGGCACCAAGATCTAGATCTTCCGGGTCTCCGCCTCAGACCCACCCTCCAGTTCAGTTTGCCTTTGACAGCCTTCTTTCCACAGTGCCATCCTTGCAGACTCTGTGCCGCCTGGTGATCCAGAGGAGTGTGGTGCACCGGTTGGCCATTGATGGGCTCCGCCTGCCCAAAGGACTCAAGGATTTCTGCAAGTATGAGTGAAGGCCTGCAGCCACCCTGGAGCAGGGCCTGGGAACATGTCCTGGCCCCAGAGTTGTGTCTGGTCTGAAGCTGACCATACTGCTGACAGCCAGGACTGGAAATAAACACAGCTGTTGCTGATGCTGATCACTGGAGGGTCTCCTTGCCCCTGAAGCCTGTGAGGAGCACTTTTAGAATCACTATAGGTCAGTAGATGAAAGCAGGAGAGAACATTTTAGATGTCTCCTAGACTTGTGGTTCCTAGCCTGGCTACTCACCAGTTATCTGGGATACTTAAAGTGCTGATGCCCCAGGCTCTATCTCCAGAGATTCTCACTAGATTTGTTGGAAGATTAGGCCTAGAGATTTCAATGTACAGCCTAGAGATTTCAATGTACAGCCAGGGTTGACAAACATTTCCCTAGAACAGAGGTCTCAGCTTTGGCACATAATATAACTACTTGAGGAACTTTAAAAAAATACTGATAACTGGGTCTGACCCTAGGATTCTGATTTAATTGGTCTGGGATGAGGTTAGGTATCAGGATTTTTAAAAGCCCCCAAGAGAATCTAATGTGCAGCCAAGTATGAGAACCAGAGCTCTGGACCAACTATTTCTTTTGGCAGATGGGAAACCAAAGCTCAAAGCTAGGAAAGTATTTGTCCAAGGTCCATAGCAACGAATGAATGCAGAGTGTTCCTTCTCTTACACTATAGGGCACAAAGCACTAGACTCCATTATTTGTATCTCAGCTGTCCAGGTGACTTGCCCAAGGTAAAGGCAAGAACATAGAATGACCTGGTCCAGTGCTCTTTTAACCCCATCCCATTGTCATATAGAGGTTCTAGAATGAACAGGTCAATGCTGTGATGTGGGTTCCAGGTGTAAAGGGGAGGGACTGTGAAGTGACATTCTAGAAGGGTAGAGAGGGTGGGATAGCAAGCAGATGACTATTCCCTCACAAACAGCGGCTTTGGGCAGTCATGTCCTATTTCACGTCTCTACAAACTCATCCGGGTCTTCTGCCTTCCTGCCAAGGTGAGAGGGGCTCCTGGAACTAAAGTGGGTACCACAACTTCCCCTTGAGAACTTGCTTCTGGGCTCCGGGGAGGTGGAGGTTCTGCTGGCCATTTGGGAGCTGGCCCTGGAGTCAATTCTCTTCAAAGAAAAGCCATTCCCAAAATGCTTGCCAATAGCTACCTACTTTCTCATTCATTAATTCAACAAACACTCCATCACTTAGTGTTGGGGACTGGGGGTGTGGATATGAGTAAAACCTAGTTCCCAATCGCTGGACAGCCCTCTTGGGCTGCTCTCAATTGTTCTAGTTCCCAGTGCTCTGCTCCTGTCTGTGCCCTGCCCCTCAGGGCCTCCTCCTCAGAGAGACCAAGAATAACGTTCCATCTCATTCCTGTCTCTGCAGGTGGGGCTGCTTCTCCAGGCTCGTCCCTTGGCCTCTATAGTCCTGTAGAGCCAGTGGCGGTGGCTTCTGGTGGACTAGGCCCACTGAGCCAGAAAGCTGAGCAGGTGGCACCTGCTGCCCAGGCCTGGGGCCCAGCCCTGGCAGTGCCGGAAGCCAGGGGCTGCCCTGGGGGGGCTAGCTGGGAGACACTGCGGCAGAAGGAATACAGCCGATACTGCCAAAAATTCCCCGTGAGGCAGCCAGAGAGCTTGGGCTGGGAGGATGGCTGCTCCAGAAGCAGAGCTCCGCACCTGGGTGGCCCCAGCAGGCCTGGGCCCCTGCTGCTGTGTGGGCTGCCACCAGGGGTTCCACTGATGTCCTCTGAGGCAGGGGGGAAGGAGGCCAGCTCCCATCCTGACATCTGCATCCTTACCCTGGCCATGATGATCGCCGGCATCCCCACCGTGCCCGTCCCAGGCCTGCGGGAAGAGGACCTGATCCGGGCGGCTCAAGCTTTCATGATGGCCCATCCGGAGCCAGACGGGGCTGTGGAGGGGGCGCAGTGGGAGCAGGCACATGCCCACACAGCCTCTGGGCAAATGCCCCTAGTGAGTTCCAGGAGGGGCCAGCCTCCTGGCTCCTGCTTGTAGCTGGATGAAATAGCACCAGACACAGAGGGTGGCTTCTCCGTATGGTTTTTGGGCAGACAGGGTTGGGGGTGCCTATGGCAAAGATGGGGATTAGGGTGGTTGTTTGAGCCACTCTGATGAACATCAGTCCTTTATTAGGGCCCAGACCCCAGGAAGTTTCTCCAGATACCACTAAACCAGAAGACAGGTCTTATCAGAGTAGTTATAATGGAAATTCTAAGTAGGGGGCCCTGCTTGGAGAGGAGGGGCTTCATTTGCATTGAGACTTGATCAAAATTTCTTGTACAAAGTCCTAGGCAATGTGAGTTCTCCTCTTGCCTTAACATTTCTCAGCCTGCTGAGGGCATGTGATGGGGCCACAGGCATGAAGGAAAATTAACACTTATTTGAGCACCTGGGTGTCAGGTGCATTACATGCCTACTCTCCTTGAATCTTACCAGTGCTATGAGGATCTCTGTTTTTACAGATAAACAAAGTGGGGCTTAGAGAGGTGACTTGCCTGAAGTCCCATAGCTAGTAAAAGGCAGAACCAGGCCTCAAAAATCAGGCAGATAAAAACCAGGATTTGCATGTAGTGTCAGACCCCAAAGTCTATTCTTTCTGTAATATTTCCTAAAGTGCCTTCCACAAGACAAAAAACTAGACAAGTGCTGGAGTAAGCAACATTCAACTTTAATGAGCTCAGGATCGGGGTAAGAGGTAAAAAGGCTGAGAACCTGGCCGAACCACCTCCCGAGGGGCCTCTTCCTCTGTGGGTCAGGTGAGTCATCTCATGACCCGGGAAGCTGTTATCCCAGACCTTGATCTCTGCCCATGTCTTATGTCTCTTATCTTAGAGCAGGGGTCAACTGTGTATGTAAGGCCTTTGAACTAAGAATGGTTTTTACCTTTTGAAAAGGTTATAAAAAAAAAAAGAAAGAATATACAACAGACTGTATGTGGCCAGCAAAGTCTAAAATACTACCTGTTGGGCCCTCTGCTGACACCAGTCTTAGGGAACTAGACGGTAGGCAGTAGGCTGCAGTAGAATAGAAGACCCCTGTCCCTTCCTGGAAGGAGGGCCCATGAAAGTACAACAGTGTGTGTGTGGATGTGTCTGTAGGAGTGATTGTGGATGTGTGGATGTGTATGGGCATCTCTGGGCACTGAGGGTAATCACAGTTGGACCTGCTCATAAGGGCCGATCCAGCTGTCGGCCAGTTCCCTCAGAGTGCTGTACCGCCGTTCAAACTCCTCCTGGCTGCAGTGCTGCAAGAGCTGACCCACCTCCTCAGTGAGGAGAGCCACGGCTAAGTGCTTATCCAGGGTCTCACTCCATTTGCTGTCCAGGATGCCATCCAGACTGGCAGCACAGCCTGCTGTCCACTGAGGTGGTAGCATGTTGGGCTGGAGCACCTGGTGGTGGGCACTGAGCATGGCTAGGATGTGGCGGCAGGGCAGGTGGAAGGCCTGGTTGAAGTAGCAGGTACAGGTGGCAGGGGGCTGGGGCTGCACCCTGTGGGTGTCCTCTATGATCTGTATGTTCACCTTTTCTGAGCCAGAGCCAATGAGGTGCACGGATTTCTGGACTACAGCAAGCTCGCCCAGGCAGAGCTGGGCTGCTGGCCCAGTGCAGATGGTATTGAGAGAGTGCTGGATGCAGGCTTCTACCAACTGCTCCACTTTGGGGCTTTGGGGGCTGACGTCTGAGAGGGCACAATTGCTCTGAAGACTCAGGCCCAGGCTGAAGCTTGCCTTGTTTCCAGAGTTCTGTTGTATGTATCGGAGCAGGGAGGTCATGCCTTGTTCCACAGATGGGGTGGTGCCAAAGAATTGGCTGAGGACTCGGGTGGTGACTTCCAAGCCCTGGAAATATTGGCTGCTCTCGGCTTGGCTTCTCCAGCGGTGGGCCAGCCAGATGCGGTCATTGAGCAGCCAGTACGAGTGAAGCTTGGGCAGCTGGTCCGGGGGGATGCAGTTGCTCAGGAGTGTATACAGCTTCCTCAGATTGCCAGCAGTGGCCGAGCACATTGTGCTCTGCAGGGAGGTCAGGAGCACCCGCTCCACAGGCGGCTCGAGGGAAAGCTGATAGAACTTGCCCTGGAGGAACTTACAGATGTGGAAGGCTGAGGGCAGAACTTCAGCTGCGGGGAACTCCATAGCTAGGGTGGGCAGAGGGAGGAAGTAGGGATCCACCAGGATGGTACAGACTCTCTCCCAGGCTGGGTTAAACTTCTTGAATACCTGGAACATCTGGGCCAGGCCTTCAGCATCCTCTTTGGCGGGAATGGCGAAGTAGACTGCCCGGGCAAGATGACCCTCCAGCTGCACTCGAGGGCCATCCACCAGGAAGGTATATAACACCTTGCCCCTTGGGTTATAGGTCCGATGGATAAATAAGATCTCAGGGAAATGGGCAAAGACTCCCTGCATAAAGCAGCTCTGATAGTTCAAAGTATCTAACTTGGCAGTCTTACTAACCTGGTACAGCAGCATAGGTGGGCTTGGGTCCTCAATCAGGAGCTCATTCAGCATGGTCAGGGCCATGAGGGAGATAGGAGATGTCTAAATGCCAAGGTCAAATACTTCTCTGCAAAGCTGCCCAGGAGGAGCCTCTCAGTCTCTCAAGCTCAAACTAAGTTGAAGCTTGAGGCTGGACTGTAGTTCCCAGATCTTGTTCCAAAGATAAGCCTATGGAGAGGAACAGAGGTTTAAGGAGCCAGTAGGGGCTTAGCTCTTCAAATATTCACCCAAACAATATTTATTGAACACTAACTATATATCAGCACTGTTCTGGGAGAGATATACAATAAACACGTAAACAAATAAACAAGGGTGTATCAGATAATGAAGGTTATAAAGACCACAAAACTGGGTAAACAGGTAGAGAGTAAACTGGGGAAGGGAGGGATACTTTAGCTCAGGGGAGTTCTCTCTGGAGGAGAGGAGGATGACATTGAAGCTGAGACCTAATTGATAAGCCAGCTTTGGAAAGATTTGGTTCTGCAAGATCTAAATGGGTGTGAAGGCCAGAGCTGCACATAGTCTTTTATTTAAAAATAGCATTTCAAATATTTGTACAGCACTTAATTTTGGTAAATTACTTCTTGTCATCCATTCTTTCATCTGGTTCTGGTATATATAAGAGAACGTGCAATTGCCCCAAACTTGCTGTGTGACCTTGGGCAAGTCAGTGACACCCTCTGAGCCTCAGTCTCTTCAACCATAAAACAGATTAACAAACGTGCATTGCTTCTCCTGCCTCTTTGGAAATCCCTCTATTAACTGCAAAGTTCTAGTCAAATGTTTCCTCTATTTGACAACGGGTTATCGTCTCCATTTTGCAGATGAGAAACTGAGACTCAAAGATGTTAAGTGACTTGCTCACCATTATTCTGTAAGCAGCCAGACGCAGAGTATTTTTGGCTTGGGATCTTGACTGCTTTCCAAAGTATCTGTGGTCCAAATACCAGGGACAGAGAGAGGACAGGGCCTCTGACTTCTCACCTCTATCCGGGCTGGGAGAATGCTGATGTCTGACCACCCCGTACAGAGTCCGACCGGAGCCAGATGTCAACCTCCCACCCCTTTGGGAGCTGTCTCAGGGCTGACGGTAGTCGTCACATCTCCACTCCTTTCGAAATCACTCACCCATAGCCTGGCTCTATCGCCATTGCTCCCTATTTGAGCCAGTTTCTGACTCTGACTGACCTCTAGGCTCACCAACCGCGGCGCCAGTTTCCTAGACTCGAGCCAATGACCTGAGGAGCTCGTGTTAGGTCTTTGATGCCCAGACCAATCGTGGCCCGGCGACTTGTAGGCGGTGCTGTTACCAGGGTTATGAGGGGCTCGGCTGGCAGTAGCCAATGAAAGCCTGAGGACATTTGCATCCAGGGGGAGTCCGATTCCTGAGGCTGGAACTCTGGGACCTCGCATCAACGGAGACAGCTGGAAGGGCGTGTTACTATGGAAACTCCCACAGAGGTCGAAAACGAAAAGGAAAATAAAATAGCAGTGTTTCATTTTTTTTTCTTTTTTGATTAAATTCCAAACACCGGGGGGCGGGAGAAGAAAGGGTGCATATATAGTTGCACTGCGTCTTCCGCCTTGGGGAAACTGAGGCCCAGGTCTCAAATTCTGCCTCTGGGTCAAAGGTCGGGGAACCAACCCTCGGATTTGAGGAACTACAGATCTTTTTGAGAGAGCTTGGTGTTGCCCAGCCAACCCCTCCCAGTATTTTACAGAAAGAGATCTATAATGGTGCTGTGATTTGTTTAAGGTCATGGTGAGCTGCTGCAAGAACCGAGACTGACATTTTTTGACCTCAGTTTCCCTGAAGATGGCATCTTGGGAAGCTGGGTGGCTACCAGGCTCTAGATGATTAAGATTACCAGCTAGCAATAACGAAAGGCAGTGCTGATACTTATAAAATGCAGCGAAAATGTTCTGTTTATAAAAATCTAGAGGGGAAACTGAAACTAGAACAGGCCAACACACTAGTTTTTGCAGATGAGGAAAACGGGGTCAAAAAAATTAGGATTTTTCCCACAGTCCCCCAGCAAGCTGCAGGCTGTGGAGTCCAGGATTCAGGTTTCTTCCCTATGTGGCCACCTCATGCTAGAATACGAGGCATCCTGAAATCAGTGCTGAAGGCTTGGCTGATAGGAAGGCTGTACTAAGTGATGTATTGTTAAATCTTTGAACTTAAGGCATCAGGTTCTATTTTCCTTTACAAACCCCATTAGATTCCTTCCCTGTTCATTCAACACACGTTTCCCTGGCTTATTTGATTTTATTTAAAAAAACAAAAAACAACTTTTATTTAATATGATTAAAAATAGATACAAATAACAGATTCTTTGTAAAGAGCAGCAACAATCGAGGATTACCCTCCTTCCCTTTGTCCCTTAAAACAGACCCTTTTACCAGGTCCATTTTGTCTCACCCCATTCTGGGACAGGGGTTCATCTCTGTAAAGTGAATAAGATCTGATCTCAAGAGTTGGGGCAGAAAGAGGGATGACCTTCCATCATGGAGACAACTTTGGCCTTGAACAATGAATGAGGCTCCAGAGGAATGCTAAAAGTAGAGCAGAAAAGGGGCAAATTCAAAGGACTGTCACATGGTAGGATTCTTTTTTTTCTTAGGATAACGTTCTTCCTAGCCCTACCTAGGACGACATTGGTGGTTAAAATGCTGCTCCCCAAGCATGTCCTGGCCACCACAAGCTTTCAGACCTCTAGGGAGAGGGGTTTGTGGTCTAATGTGCCAGCCCAAGTGTTTCAATCATGAATCGTAGATCCAGCAAGAGGGAGCCCATCGCCTTCCTCCTGCTTTCCCCAGAGAAAAGGAAGGTAGCCCACATCCTTGAAGTCCTCTGACTGCTGAGTGGGCTCAGGTGGCTGGTAAGGGTCTGCCCAGATGTCGACAATCTTGTGCAGGGTGGCAAAGCGCTCCTCCAGCTCTGGTCCCTCACTCTGCATTAGCAGGTTTGCTAGCTCCCTGCTTAGGTCCTGAATCATGTCATTCCGTCCTTGCTTCCCAGGCTGGCCTGTGTTTAGGACCACAACAGGGTCCCGGAGCTCCCCACTAGGCCCCAGGAGGTGCTGGTACCTCTTTTGCCACCGGCGGCACACCATGGTTTCACCCACGGGCTTCTGGCTGGTGTGCAGCAGGGCCAAAATGTGCCGGCAGGGCAGATGATACCATTGCTGAAAGGAACAGCTGCAGCTGCAGCCATCTTTGCTAACCTGGTGAGAGTCCTCTAGCAGCTGAACGTCCACTGAGGAGCCAGCCATGTCCACCAGGTGGGTAGAGTTCTGTACCACCTCCCACTCATTATAGCACAGCTTATAAGCCAGTTCAGAGCCACTCTGGTGCAAGGTGTCCAGCATGCCACCCCGGGAGAGCTGCACCTGTGGCTCCTGCTGCAACTGTGCCTGCTGTGGGTATGGCTTTGTTTCTTTCACAGGGAGCCTGGTGAGGCTCCCTCCACAGATTCCAAAAGCCTTCTTGGACTTTGGTGGCATGCTTGCTGGCCGGGTTCTCTTTAACTTGGGAGGAACTGTGGGCAAGTTCTTCACACCTTTGGTATTGAAGAAGTCTATGTAATCCACAAAGCGGAGGATGCAGTCCAGCAGGGACTGCTGTTCCCGAAAGAGGCTTGACACTTTGCTGGTGATGACATCTAGGCTGTCCATGTAGGTGTTACACGCGTGCAGGCCCTTCCTGACATGCATGTACCACAGCAGTTCACAAGAGAACCAGTGGGCCTGCAGGAAGCTGAAGAGTTCCTCATCTAGTAGGGCTTGGGCCATCTGACAGAGATTTTGCAGGCTGGCATCAGAAGTGACAAACACAGCCTCCCGCAGGGCTTCTTTCATGAGATTTTTAAAGGATGGATTTACCGAACTACGATGCAACTTCTTCTCCAAGAGTCGGGTTGTATGGTAGATAGAAAGGAGCATGCGAGCGGCAGGAAAGATCTCCTGCAGGACGGCTCGATGAGGGAAGGATGGGTCCACAAAGACCACCTTGATCTTGGGCCAATCTGAGTTGAACTCGGCGAAGATGCTCAGCATCTTGGCCACAGACGTGGCTGTCTCAGCCTTGAGTACAGCAAAATGTACCACTCGACCCTCTCGTTCCTTGTTTTCCACCAAGAAAGCATAGAGGATGTGGCCCTGGGCATTCTCCACCCGGTGCAGCAAGAGATTTTCTGGGAAGCGGATGAATAGGTTGCTCATCTTGCTGCTCTGAAAGCTGAGCCGGTCCAGGTCTTGGCTGTTGCCTACACTGAGGGAGGCCATGGAACCCTCATCTACCTTAAGAAAGTTCTTCATCACTTTTGCTATCTTGGCCAGGTCAGAAGGAGTGATGCCCTCCTGTTCTGGCTTTGAGGCTGCTTGGACCTTATCTAAGCAAAATGATGGTTCAACCAGGGACTTTTCAGCCCCGTTAGGATCTTTCTTCAATGTGGGCTGTGCAGGCTGGGGTTTCTGCAGGCACATTGTCTTTTGAGATTTGCCACCAGTGTCTCCTCCAGGACCCGCAGTTTTAGAGTCAACATGTATATGCTGGGTATTGAGTTCACTGATAAATAGCCTATCCAGCTTCTCATTGTACCGCAGAAGCAAGTAGGCTGGGCACATGTCCACCTCTGGTGTTCTCTTCCTGTTTGACTGGGTTCGAATACAGACAAATTTCACCTGCACATATCTAGGGAAGGTAGAGGTGACAATGAGAAAGGTGCTCATCATCTCCTTTCTCTTTTAAGACAAGGCTTTGTAGGGACTTAAGTGGCTGATCTATTTCCTGGAGACTACAATACAATATAGGATGCAGGATAGGAAGATATAAGTTCACTCTCCAGGCCCAAAGTAAACGACTCTTCAAGACCCTGTCTAACTAAAACTCCCTTTATTTTCATCTACAGCAGTTCTAAGCCCCAACATCTTTCATTCACTCTCTGTTGCCCATCTGCAGCTGCCAACAATTCACTCTGAGGCAAGACACAAGGGAAAATAGATATGACGCAGTAGAGCGCCTAGCTGATCACTTACTATTTAAAGTGTCCCCTCCATTCCTGCCTTTTGGGAGCCTTTGCTTCCTCCAGACAGCAAAGATAAAAATGGCCTTTAGGGGTAAGGTTGTGTCTGGGCCTCTTCTCTAAGAGGGAAGATCTCTGTTCATCTTTCAATTAAAGAAAAATGTCCACATCCTAAGAGATTTTGCGAACCCTGGGCTAGATGATCTTTAGAGTCCCTGCTGGCTTTGCCATTCTAGGTGGAAAGTGATGATTTAAAGGAGAAGAGTAATTAAGTTGAATATCTGCTCTTTTTCTCTTCCTATCCCCATTCAACCCAAGCTTCAAAGCCCAAATCAGGTCCCGACTTCTCCAGGAAGCCTTTATGGATGCCCTCAAGCCACAGTAATTGCTCCTTTCTCTGAATTCATAGCATTTATTTAAAATTCTTAAAAATAAAAATAAAATAAATAAAATAAAAGGCTTAGCAGATTCTCTAGATAGCATACCTAGTGGTTGGACAGTAGGGATGCTGGAGGCTGACTGCTGGATTTGAATTCAGATTCTACCACTCAGAAGTTGTTTGACCTTGGGCAAGTCACTTCACCTCTCTGTGTGCAGTTTCCTCATCATAAAATGAAACTATCTTATTAGGGTTGTTATGAGAATTAAATAAGCCACAGACATAATATTTTAGCCCAGAGCCTGGTTCAGCTTTCTGTTCATTCTAAATAAAAGTCAGCTACTATAATCATAGCTCCTATGCCTTGTGACATTCTCCTGGGTATTTATGCAGAGTATTCCATGTACCTAACAATGCTATTCCTTCAGCAGAGTCTTATCAGAGATCTACTGGATGAAGGACTAATGGACCACTGGTGGGTGGAATGTGTCACATCCCTGCCTCCTCAGGGAGAGCCCCGCCCCAACCCAAACACCAGGGAAGGGGAAAATAAATCTCAGCTCCTGATGTGACGTGACACAGCCTCAGTATCTCACCAACCTCTTTCCAAACACCCTAATCCAGCTGGTCCTGTTGGCTCACCCTGTGGGGTAAGCGTATAAAAACAGGATATGCCAGGACCGCAATAACAGGGTGGAGGGGCCCAGGGCTGAAAATACCTGCACCTGTTGTGTGCACAGTGCTGGGGTGGCAACACCATCTCCAGCTTGGGATTGGGAAGGGGCTGGAGCAGCCCAGTAGTATGGCAAGGCCAGTGAGGGGTGACTGCAGTGTGGCCTCTGCAGTCACCAGTGTGTCTGCAGCGTGTCTCCAGCTTCGTTTTCTACCCCCACACCATCTTGTTGTTTTTTATGCCCTAGAAAGACAAACTATATACAGCTTCCCATGTTCACTGTGCTGTGTCTCATCTCTGTGCTTTTGCTCATGTTTGTCTGTCTGGATGCCCTTCCCACCCGTCTTCATCTCAGAGCTTACTACTCATCCTCTAGGACAATGTACACCCATCTCCTTCTCCAGGGAGACTTCCCCAAGCCTTTAGATTGGGCCCTACCCTTCTGCTGGCTCAACATGTTAGCATAGCTCTAGCTCATCAAATTATATTGACTTTATGTGCTCTTAGCACATGTTTGTTAAGCTAGTCCAAAGAAAAGATACTGGTGAATGCCAACCACAAAACCCTTTGTACCTCTCTTGGTTCCATTAATGACTACACCTGCCAGGGTGGAAACCTTGGCATTCTTTTTAATTACTCCTCCTCCACATCTATATCCAATATGTTAAAAGTCTTTTAAATTCTTTCCTACCACTACTACATATATTAAGAATTATATATGCCAGGCTACATGTAAGTCCATAACATGCATCATTTTATACTATGAAAAGGGCTCTATCATCCAAATTTTATAGATGAGAAAACAGGCTTAAAGAGGTTCTCAAGGATGAGAATCTGGGATTTAATCCTCTAGCTAAAACTGAAGGATGTGGGGTTTGAACTAAGCCTGCTTAGCTAGTCAGTGTAGTTAACCATTATGCTGCCCGCTCTTTCAAAATCTCTCTCCTATCTCTGAATTCTCCTTTTACTCTCCTCAATTGACTCTCAATATATTGGTCATTCAGGTTCAATAAATTCCTTAAAGATCTCTACACATACTGTCCTCGTTGGTCATTGCTTTCAAACTTAATGAGCACTAGGTTGAAGCCTCTGTTATTTTTTTTCCTGCTTCCTTTCATCTTTTTTTTAATCGAGATATGACTTCCATACAGTGAAGCACACATTCTTTTGTAAGAATTCTTTGAGCGCTGTAGTTATTTTAATCTGTATTTCTGTCTCCCAGGTTAAAGCATAGACCCCCTTCAAGATAAGGATAGGGTTTTATACAATCATCCCTCAGTATCTGCAGGGGATTGGTTCCGGGAACCTCAAGAATACCAAGATCTACAGATGCTCAGTCTCTTACATAAAATGGCATCATATTTGCAGATAACCTATGTACATCCTCCCGTATACGTTAAATCATCTCTAGATTACCTATAATACAATGTACATGCTATGTAAATAGTTGTTATACTACACTGTTTAGGAAATAATGACAAGAAAAAAAAGTTTGTACATGTTCAGTATAGACACAACCATCAAGTATAATAGGCCAACCTACATAGTACATGTCAGCAATAACATAACTTTTTTTTCAAATATTTTTGATCTGTGGTTGGTTGAATACACCGCAGATACAGATACCATACTATGATATGGAGGGCTGATGTACTTTTCTGAATTTCTCTTAGTGCTTATTTCTAAGAGTATTCAACCAGCCTCTGGAGGATGAGAGTCAGCCAATGTTGCTTCCTTCAGTCTACTCTATAGGTGTTTATAACTGTGTCCCCAGTGTATTGTGGCCCCAGGGTACCCCCCAGTGCCTGGCCCTGCACCAGGCACAGACTAGGTCCTCTAAACACATACACTGAATGACTGTACGACATACTAGGAAGGTCCCCGAGAGGATTCTGTCAGATGACTTGGCTTCTAGTCCTAGCACTATTACTCTTACTAACTGTAACTTTGGACAAGTCCTTTGTTAAATTTCAAACATTTACTAAGTCCTACTATGTACCAAACACTCTACTAGTTGCTCAGAAGGCTACAGACACAAATTAGTCTCTACTCTCAGTCTAGTGAGCAGAGAGATTATTAAATAGATGGCCAGTAAAGTCAAGATTAAGAGAATATTATTATTCTTCAAAGCTTTTAACCTGTATTTATTGACCTGGTGGAGTAGAACATAACATAAACACAAGAGGACCCAATTCCTCAACCACAATAAGGGCGGAAAGCCGCAGGCCTGTCTCCTAGAGGATGCTTCTGTTATCAGAGAATGATTAAACAGAGGTACAAGCAATAAATTTATAACAGAATAGCATTCACCCTGTGGGGATTGGAACAGATTAACTAAAGCTTTTGATTCACTTCACATAAGATTTGTGTCATTGTTGGGTGTAAACTGCACCTTGAGCGATGAATAGGATTTTTATAGGTGGAGTAAAGCCATTTTAGACAATATAATTTAAGTGAGAAATGAGACTTGAGACTCGGAATCAGAAGACCTGATTTAAATTCCAGCTTTACTACTTAGTTGTGTGAACTTGGATAAGTCTCTTTACTTCCTCTAAGCCTCCAATTCCTAATTTACAAATATGGAGGTAACAAGAATACCGGTTTATGAATAATCAGTACCTGAGCCAAGAATAATCGATACCACTAAAAATGAATTTATTTAAAAAGCTGTGACAGAATCTGTTGGTGGCCTGCCCAACATCCCTTAGCCCCCTTCTTTCTTCCTAACAGAAGCCAAATTTATTTGGTTTGCCATTCCTCCCTGAAATAGCTAGGGCTTCAGGCCTAGTCTAAGCCAATTAAGGTAATCTCATTAGATACAGGCAAGGAGACTGGCCCAATTCTGGGCAAAGAGACATAATAGGAAATCTGCAGGAAACCAAGGACGGCTTTTTCTTCTGGATGTGATGCCTGCATTTGTGCCATGTGGGGAGCCATCCTGAGGGCAAAGACATGAGGATGGCAGAGTGGAAAGAAGCAAAAAGTCTTGGCCACTGAAACTATCTCCTTCAAAGGCCCACCTCTGGGCTTCTAAGAATTAAGGCATTTTGAGTCAGGGTTTTCAGTTAATTGCAGCCAAAAACATCTCCAGAAACATTTCATAATAAATAATGAGAAAAAAGATTTGAGTGGAAATTTATCTTAAAAAATGAGACTAAAATTATGAAGTTAATACTACATTTAACAAAATATGTTATAATGGTGAATATATGCCAATTCTTAGAATAATCAAAGAATGACTTAAAGTGTCAATTTCTTTTTTCCTGGTGTATTTTCCCCAAACACAAGATACTTTTATTTCCTGTCTCACTTTTGCAACATGTAAAGGTTTTGCCGAAATATTCCTGGGCTTTATCATTGTTGCCCAAGGGCCTAATTTAATTTTTTGCTATGCAAATCCTTTGCTTTTCAAGTTCCTCTCATATCATCATCCTTGTTGATTTCCCTTCCTTTGTTAATTGGTACAGGGCTGAAGGTGATGTAAGGAGTTCTCTATCATTACTTTCAGGACTTCACCAAGTCCCTACAGCTCTTGGGAGATGTGTAATTTCAGTTTGCAATTAATTTTATTTGCACTGTGTTATCCTGATGTTTACCACATCTATTCATTAGCCAGA